TCTCTCTCTCTCTCTCTCTCTCTCTCTCTCTCTCTCTCTCTCTCTCCTCTCTCTCTCTCTCTCTCTCCTCCTCCTCTCTCTCTCTCCTCTCTCCTCTCTCTCTCCTCTCTCCTCTCTCTCTCCTCTCTCCTCCTCTCTCTCGCTCTCTCTCCTCTCTCTCTCTCTCTCTCGCTCTCGCTCTCGTTCTCGCTCTCTCGCTCCTCGCTCTCTCGCTCTCCGCTCTCTCGCTCTCTCGCTTCTCTCTCTCTCTCTCCTCGCTCTCTCGCTCTCTCCTCGCTCTCTCCTCTCCTCTCGCTCTCTCGCTCTCTCTCTCGCTCTCTCGCTCTCTCGCTCTCTCGCTCTCTCGCTCTCTCCTCTCGCTCTCGCTCCTCGCTCTCTCGCTCTCTCGCTCTCTCGCTCTCGCTCGCTCTCGTCGCTCTCTCGCTCTCTCGCTCTCTCGTCGCTCTCGCTCTCCGCTCGCTCTCGCTCTCGCTCTCGCTCTCGCTCTCGCTCTCGCTCTCGCTCTCGCTCTCTCGTTCTCGCTCTCTCTCTCGCTCTCTCGTTCTCGCTCTCGCTCTCGCTCTCTCGTTCTCGCTCTCTCTCTCGCTCTCTCGTTCTCGCTCTCTCGTTCTCGCTCTCTCGTTCTCGCTCTCTCGTTCTCGCTCTCTCGTTCTCTCTTTCTACCTCTACCTCTCTATCTCTCTCGCTCGCTCCCTTTTCTCTCCCTCCTTTCCGCCCTCTCCCTCTCTCCTCTATCCCTCCCTCCTCCCTCCCTCCCCCTCCCTCCCTCCATCGCTATGCTCCCGCTCGCTCTATCTTCGCGCCAGATGGTGTAAACACCTGATGCTGCTGACACCCGGCACTACTTGCGCCCCCCACCCATTGTTCCGGACATTGCCCACGTCTCGCGCTGCCTGCACCTGACAGCGAGTCCCGTCCGTCCGCAGGCGTTCAGCAAGAAGTGCGTGGACCAGCGGAAGGAGTGGCTGACCAATTGGATGGAGGAGTGCAAGCGTCGCCGCGAGCTGGGGCTGCCCGAGCTCTACCTCTACGAGAAGGAGACGCGCGCTGTCAATTACACCGACTTCGTCAACAAGGAGCTGGTGCTCTTCTCCAACCTGGATAACGAGCGCTCCATCCCGTCTCTGGTGGACGGCCTGAAGCCGGGCCAGCGTAAGGTGGGCGTGCCGGCGGGCTTGGGCGGCGCACCGGCCGCGTGGGACCGGCGGCCGGCCGCCTCTGCGGGCGGAGACTCACCACCGGGGGGGGGGGGGGGGTCTCAATGGCAGTCGGCGGTGCTCGCGCGAGATTTGATGAGCGGTGTTTTGAGGCGGCTGTACAAGATGTCGGAAGTCAGTCCCGCTCCCGACCGCAGTTAGGTCACATGACACGTCGTAGGCGATCGTTCGGCCGTTTTTCGGAAGCCCCCGACCACTCGCTCGATCGCTCTCGGATGCGACGGTCGTCGACTTGCGTGTTGTTCCCGCCGCCGCGTGCCGCGCGTCTGGAGAAGAATGGCGTGCCACCCGGGCGCGGCTGGAGAATTAATGGCTCGATCATGGGGCGGGCGTGTTCATTTGCGGCCGTACGGCGCCGCCCGGCTCCTCACGGAGTCGCCGGTCTGTGGGGACCGCGATGGGGCGCCGTACAGAGGTCCGGCTTCTCACCGGGCGACGGCTGCCAACGTCTGGACCGCGATGGGGCGCCGTACAGAGGTCCGGTTTCTCACCGGGCCGCGGCTGCCAGCGTCTGGACCGCGACGAGGCGCCGTACAGAGGTCCGCAGACGCTGACCCCCCCCCCCCCCCCCCCCACCTCCCGACAGGTGCTCTTCACCTGCCTGAAGCGCAACGACAAGCGTGAGATCAAGGTGGCGCAGCTGGTGGGCTCGGTGGCCGAGATGTCGGCCTACCACCACGGCGAGGCGGCGCTCTCCTCCACTATCGTCAACATGGCGCAGAACTTCGTGGGCAGCAACAACATCAACTTGCTGCTGCCCGTCGGCCAGTTTGGCACGCGCCTGCAGGGCGGCAAGGACGCGGCCAGCCCCCGATACATCTTCACCATGCTCAGGTGAGACGGACTGCCGCCGATGCGGTGCCCTTCACTGTGCTCGGGCGAAGTCCCTGCCGCCTGGCTACGTCTTCACCATGCCCAGATGGAAGACGTTGCCGGCGATACCTCCTGACGTCCCTTCTGTGTCGTCTTGTCCTTCCTCCAGGCTTCATGCACAGGCTGACGTGGCTGCTTCGCCGGGCTCTTCTGTCTTTGGAAGTGGGGTAGGGCAAGTTCAGGGCAAGAAGTTGGTACAGAGTCGACGCTTATTGACTATTATGATAGCACATTGGGAAACCATAACACGACCCTTGTTAACCAGCAGTCAGAAATTAGGAGATCCACTTAAAAAGCCTAACAAACGAAGCGTCTGGTTGCGAAAAATTTCCGAAGATGAAACATAATTACCGTGCATACGACTTCATCAGCCACAATCGCCAACAAAGTTTGCTGGCAAAGACAGAAACTGTGAGGGCTTTAAAGAGTTCTTGACGCTACCATCAGCTAGCGTTTAACAGCGACCCCACTGCGCCACTGACCACCGAATGAGGCCCTCGGCGCCGCGCAGGCCACGAGGCGGCCCGGCTGCCTCTCCCTGCCGGTCGGCGGCCGTGGCCTGACCCGCAGCCAACCAACCGCGTACCGGTGCGACCGCGCTAGATGAGCTCACGTGACCCGCAGCCGACCAGCCACGTACCAGTGCGACGGCATTAGATGGGCTCACGTGACCCGCCGGAGCACTGCAGCGTGATGGCCTGTCGGCTGTTGTTCGCCGAATCCTGTCCTTGCTTCCGTGTGTGAGAATCGGGGAGACAGCTGCACGGGCCCTGGACTCGCTGTTCCCGCGTGTTGGCCGACAGCGGGCTCTCATGCACGCCCGGTGGTCGGTGCGTTTTCTGCCTGGTCAGCTTCCGTTACGGCCTGCTCTGACCGCCTGCCGCGCCATTTTCGAGGAAAGCTTCTTTATCGCCGTGTTGTCGCGCCGCGACTGCCGCGTGGGTCGGCGCGAGCCCCTGTAGATCTCGCCGACTCGCCGGCCCGGCCCGGCTGTGGTCGCGTGCGCGGCATGGACCGTCTCCCCGCCGCGTGCGCCGAGCGCGGCTGTACACAACTCCTGACGGACTGGTCTGGCTGGCCCGGGCGCAGCACGGACGCTGGACGGCACAAGCGATAAATGGGTCCATTCTCTGGCGTCTGGGAAATTCGCGAGGTGCCATCGGTACAACAGTCACCAGCGGTGGCACTTGCAAATGACACTGGTTGAGACGCTGGTAGACTGATGACGGGAATACGGCGTGTTAAGGGGAGGTTTTCGTTGCGGGCGAATTACACATTCAAGAAACAACAGGAGATACAGTCTGTTGAAGACGTTCCTATTTCACGCGTTTATGAAGAGCCTGGACGGGCTCTTCAGTTTCACGTATTTTGGGTTGTAAAAGGCAACGTGAATGTGTACCGATAAAAACGACCTGTGGGTATTTTGATGGCTGAGCGTTATTGAGACATCTGGCTCGGCAGCCATTTTGAACATTTTCAACTCACCTGCAGGCAAGGTACCATGGACCACTGTACACCCTAACCCGGTTCTAGATGTCAGGTTGCGGTACCTTCGCTTTTGAAAAGGACATTCGACCTGACCATGCAGCCCCGCTCTTTTTCCGGGGACCGGAGGGGGGGGGGGGGGAGGGGATCCGTTGCCGTCGAGTGGCAGCCTGCGGAGAGCGGCCGGACGCCGCGTGGTCGCCCCGGGTCCCCGATCGTCACCATCCGTGTGATGCCGTCCGCGGCGGGCCGACGTCAGCGCTCGTCGGACCGTACTGTACTTCCGCCGGGTGACTGGGGTCGTGCCCGGAGCGACCGATCAGGAGGCGCGACCCGGCCGAAGGACACCCAGAGCGGCGCGCTCCGTCGGCTGGCAGCGACGCCGGGTCCGACCGGACGCCCGGCGAATCGATGCCGCTCCAGCCGGGGCTCCGTGGCGTACATCGTGTAGTGTATTGTCGCTCTATTGCGGCCTCGACTCGCTCGGGAGCGGGCGGCGGACGGACGCCGCTCGGCCGTTTTCCGGTCAAATCCAGCCAGGCGCCCGCCGCGGCACGTCTGGCATGCCTGGTCAAGGTCGTAACGGGGAACACGTGAGAAGCGGGGGGTAGAATTTCTTCCATTAATGGGAACAAGAGCCAGCTGGAGCAGGGCGGGGAAGACGGAGAGTGAAATGGGTCATGTGAGCGATGATGTGCGGACAAGAGGCGTGCTGAACCTGTGCTCAGTTCCCACTGTCTCCCCGGAGTAACGAGTTCGCGAGCACAATGCGATGCATTGATTTCTGAGGTGATGATCAGTTCAACATACTTGGCTGGAGCTACAAGGCTCACACCTGTAAATAAAGTAACCGCGTGAACGCACATCCCGGAGCATGCATTCAGTCGTGCAGAGCAGTTTAGCATATAGTTGGTGCAGTGAATCCAGTTCTTGATGCTAAAGGTCAAGGTTAGGGTGCGGGCCCATTCCCACCTCGCGAGCCGGCTGCGGCGCGCTGGCCCGCGGGGCGCCGGTTAAAAGGAGCTCAACACAGAAATCCGTTGCCCACAACAGCCGGCTGCGCAGGATCCCAACAAATCATGCAGCCGTCAGCTAATGCCGACTAAAAGGTGCGGCGTTTAGGCGCTTGTTGCCGATGCTTGGCGGGCAGACTGGCTGAGAGTGACACATCTTGTCCGGAAAGGAGTGCCGGTAGTGTAGTGGTTGACGCGTCTGCGTTGACCACTGCGCGTCTGGGAAACCAGAGGTGCGGGGTTCGATTCCCCGCGGTGCCCGCCCTTCCTGCCAGGGTGAGAGGCAGGCGACGCCTTATAGCCTCAGCAGCTGAGTGCGTCGTAAAGCCCCAATGACACACACACACATCTTGTCCGGAACAGCTGGCCACTGCAGACCCTGCGGGAGATCCTGTTAGCTGTCTGTTACGTGTGAACGGACCTACTGGCGCCCGTAATAGCGTTAACGAAATTGTTCGTGTGACGCAAAGCCATTAACCACCTTACCTTATTAGTGGCTACCTTCTGAGCCTTCCGCTATGTATTGCCTGTCAGTACGATGCGGCAAAACTGGTGGCGGTTGAGCGTAACGACGTAGACAGATTCAGTAAGCAATGACGCGTGATATCACACTTAGAATACAAGTATACGTAAAATGTATGCATTTGGTAAATGCTTGATAGCAGGTTAAAATAAGTCTGACATATGACTGTGCTCGTGGGAGGCGAATAAGTGTGGACTCTACGGTGTTTTATTTTTGATAAAACATATTATGTTTCGTGTATTTGTGTTTCCTGTCAGCCGCCCGCAGCCCCGTTGTGACGAATCGCGAGGCGGTGCCAGCGATGGCGCCTTTGCTAATATATCGGTGGCATTGTTTTGCATGATGATGTAGTGGAAGCAATATCAAAGTGCAGCATGAAAAACGGCCCTTAAGGGTCCGCGAACATTCGCAGTCGCCTTCGTAATGCGTTGTTTATGGTGACGATTTGAACACTGGTGTGAATGTCACCGGGTGATAACTTGTTTGCCTGTGGAAATTTAAAGTTCATTAGTTCAGCGCTGCACTATTTTGTCGTGCCGGTTCAGAGGCTGAAGCTATCGGTGAGATGTGTGGCTATTTTTCGTTGCGCCATATTTATCTTAAATGGCCCAGCGACGCGCTGAAAATATATTGTTTGTTACGGAGAAACTCCTCCATAATGCAGGTCGCCCCGGGCTGCCTTTATGCATTGTGTATCTTTCCGGTTGGGCCAAGTTTGTTCGCCTATCGAGTGAGGCCAAGTTTGTGTGCGGACTGGCGGCCAGGCCTCGGCCGGGCCGGTGGTGTTGCCGATAGGCGGGGCCGCCGGCTGATAGCGCCGCTGCGGCGGCCGGCGCAAGTGCTGGAGGTGGGGAGGGCCCCGGCCGAGCGTGCCTCTCGGGGCCCATCGACCTGGCGTGTCGCTCTGTCACGGACGGCCCGTCGGCTGTCCTCTGTTCCATCAGTCGGCGGACAAAGACCCGCTATTCTTCACCGGCTGTCTGATGAGGGCGATGTGTCTCCCGGCGCTTGAGCGGGTCCGTGTCCCTCCAGCCCCCTCTGCTTCCGTCCATGCCCAGCCCTCCGATGAACTCCCGTTTGTCCCCAACCATCCAGCGAGTGCCCGTCCCTCCCCACCTCTAACCAGCTTCCGTCTGTCCCCAGCTCTAACAGTCCCCGTCCCGAGGTCTTCTAAAGGGAATGCTCCACATTTGGAGATATCGAAGCAAGCATCAGCCATGAAGTAACCTCCCTTATAACTGTTGATATACTTTAAACTGGAAAAGACTGCCATAGACGGCACAGTTCCTCTAGTTAGTAGATATGCTCCTCCATGCGTCACTGTTTGATTGCGTCGTCGTACGTCGCACAACACTGATTGCGAGCCAATTGGCCGCCGTTTTATCTGAAAACTGTGCTCATGATCGCCAGATCCGATATGAACGACTCGACAATTAAGATTTGTTAGCCTTCATCGTCGCATGGCCAATGAAGTGACAGGATTTGATTGACTTTATTATGGTATCATGGATGCCTGGGTGGTCTTGGAATGTTCGCACAAAATAGTCTGCACATCTTCGCGGGCATGTAGCTCAAAAACTAGAGGCATTGACGTCTTATGGAGGGTAGAGGTGTGGACTGCACCGAATGATCTTCAAGATGGCCTTCACTGTTAAACACACCATACAAATATAGAACTCTCCCTTTAAGCGATATCTGTCCCTCAGCCGGCCGTTAACACACGGCCGTCTTCCCGCCATTCGTCTCGCATACGGTCGTCTCTCCACCGGCCGTCTCACATACGGGCGTCTCCCCGCCAGCCGTCTCACATACGGCTGTCTCTCCACCGGCCGTCTAACATAGGGCCGTCCCCCGCCATTCGTCTCACATATGGTAGTCTCTTCGCCAGCCGTCTCACATGCGAGCGTCTCCCCGCCAGCCGTCTAACCCGTCTCACATACGGTCGTCTCTCCACCGGCCCTCTAACATACGGCCGTCTCCCCGCCAGCCGTCTAACATACGATCGTCTCTCGGCCGGCCGTCTCACTTACGGCTGTTTCTCCACCGGCCGTCTAACATAGGGCCGTCCTCCCGCCATTCGTCTCACATATGGTCGTCTCTTCGCCAGCCGTCTCACATACGGGCGTCTCCCCGCCAGCCGTCTAACCCGTCTCACATACGGCCGTCTCTCCCCCGGCCGTCTAACATACGGCCGTCTCCCCGCCAGCCGTCTAACATACGATCGTCTCTCGGCCGGCCGTCTAACATACGGCCGCCGTTTGCCCGCCGTCCGTCTAACATACGGCCGTCCCTCCGCCGGCCGTCTCCCTTCCGGCCGTCTAGCATCCGGCCGTCTCTCCGCCGTCCGTCTGACATGCTGCCGTCTGTCCTCTTCCGTCTGACATGCTGCCGTCTGTCCGCCAGCCCGGTGACGAAGGCGCTGTTCTCGACGCTGGACACGCCGCTGCTGCGCGCGCAGCTCGACGACAACATGCGCATCGAGCCCGAGTGGTACATCCCGGTGATCCCGATGGTGCTGGTCAACGGCGCCGACGGCATCGGCACCGGCTGGATGACCAAGATCCCCAACTACAACCCGCGCGAGATCGTGTCCAACCTGCGCCGCATGCTGGAAGGCGACGAGCCGCAGCCCATGGTGAGAGCGAGCGAGCGGCGGCGGCGGCGGCGGCGCGTGCCAGGGGCGCCGCCGCCGCCGAGTCTGCCGTGCCGGCTCGTGCGAAGGTTGATGGTGTCGTGCTGCCGCGCCGAACGGCAGGGAGGGCCGGAGGTGGTCGGCTGCAGACGCGTGTGTGACGGCTGTTTTGCGCGGTCTGTAGGGCGACTGCGGTGGGGCTGTCACGCGCCGACCGCGAACGCTGGGGCACGGTCACTTAAAGTGGCGCACGGCGGGTGGGGACACGCCTTCATTACTGGAAGATATATGAGCTGAATTGGAAACATTATTTTCAGGCAATATCAGTCGGCTTCATTACTGGTCCCGCAGAAGCAGTAAGCCAGTTTATGTTGTTACTAGCCCACTTGACCACCGAAGCATGCCGGTAACAGCATATCTTGGCTCGGCGTCGTGCACTCCAAATCAAATTTTGCTCGTCGCCGACGAAACGGCAGCAAAAAATAGTTATGAAGCCAATCATGCAAGATGGCGCACTGGGGACAAAGGATCATGTGCTCCCTTCGTGAGAAATGCGTGGTGGTGCGAGGGCTCTGTGTCGTTGTCGTCGTGGACATAACGGATGATCGTCGCTTGGTGCCCTCTTATGGTAAGCGCACTGCCGCGTTTAATGAGCCACGTATGGAAATAGCCAGTCTGCAAAGGTGACTGACGAAACATATATGTGAACGAACCCATTGCATGTCCAGTGCGTCACCATCCCGGAACTCGCTGTCATCCTGCCATTTTACATGAAGACCGGGCTGGCTGGGAGGCCAAGTCGGGCCCAGCGCCTGCTCACGAGCTGCTCATCGCGCAGTAGCTGGTCGTGACGCGCGGACCGGCTGCAGCTGTCGTCGGAACCTCGCCGCCTTAATAACTTCAGTCGCGCCGCCGCGTGACGTGACTGGTGACGACACACAGCTGTCAGCCGCGCCGCGGCCAGGCGGTCATCTCGCCGACGCCAGGCCGAGGCGGCTGCGGCGGGCGACGCTCCGGGGCCTAGCGGCAGCTGCGAAATCACAAAGGCGGCTCGACAAAGTGGCGCGAAGTGCAACAATATGTTGTCAATCTGCCGCCCCCGGGGTGCCCCCCCCCCCCCCCCCCAGTCCGTCGCCACCCGCCTTGGCCGAGGTTCCGCGCGAGGTCAGAAGACTCCAGTGCTCCCCGCCGCGTTGTCAGGGGAACGTCCGACGTTGATATGGTCGTCACTGCCAGCGGGACGATGCCGGCAGGGCTGGGAATTTACAGCGAGAATGCGCGCGAGAATCAGGCGAATGCCTCCGCCGCCAAGTGCGCCAATAAGTGTGTCGGCGTGCGTGGCAGCCGCGGCAGGAATGTTTCATCAGAGTTGCTTCTGCGTTGTCTGATTAGGCGTCGGACGGCATGTCGACGTCAGCGGCGGGCGACGAACGAGTGGGCGGCGGTGTTGGGACGGTGCACTGTGCCGCACCCGGAAGAGCGGCCGGTGACCGGCGTCGGCCCGCCAGCGGCAGCGGCGCCATCATGTGGACCATCCACCTCCTGAGCGTCAGCGGGACGGCCGGTGACTAGCCCGACTGCCGCCCGCTGCCGCCACGCTGTGGGCTCGTCCGCCCCGCCGTCCGCCGCCGTCCGCCGCTGCGGCGGCGGTCTGGTTGTCGCCACAGAGCAGATCGGGCGGGCGACCCCAGGCTGGCGCCGCCGCCGCCCTGTTTTGTGTTTCTGATTCCCGTCGCAAGGTTTTCGTGCTCTGCCACACCTGATCTTTCTACCAGGGGAGTGTTTTCCTTGTTGATGAATGACGTAGTTGCTGAACAGCGGCCATGACCCGGTGCAGTATTGTGCAAGCCCACGGGACGAGCCTTACATCATCGGCCGCTTAGACCCTGTGCAAGCCCGGACTAATGACTCGAACTATTGACAGCCGGCATTGGATTAGCAGGGCTTGCAGCTAGAAACATTTTTCCTCCTCCTTGATGTCAGTTTTGCTTCACCATGTTTCATCCTTGGTGTGGGTTTACGTCAACAAGGAGCCGGTGCTGCGTTTGATGTCTCTAAATGATGTTCCTTTGCTTCGGGGAATCTATCAGGGGAACAGTTCGCTCGCTTTTCCGTGGATTGCGGTGGTGGCTGTGTTTTGCCTCTGAGTTAAGCCACCGTCGGTGATCACCGTGCCGGCCCGCGGTCGTGTTTCAGTGCGGCTCGGCGTGCGGGTTTTATTCCATTGTGTGCCCGTCTGTGGTGTGTATTCTGCTGTGTTCGCACCCTCAAAGGGATCTCGGGCGGGTCTGCGTCTCGGTGTGCGCCCATCCCTTGCTCCTGTTGTTTTGTGACCGTACGATTCTCTATGCCATAAAGCAAGCCGGACGATAGCAATGTAATGTCCGATGTTTGGTTTGCTGGGGTTGCGCGATTATTCACGATTCGCGCGATCCCCCGCGGCGGTCCCGTCCCGATTCGGCGTCCCGCCGCAGCCCCCATCTCCGGGCACAGAACGCGTCCGCGTGCCCCTGCTCTGCCTGCGCCGCCCGGTCGCCTGACCGACCGCCTCCGCCGACAGAAACCGTGGTTCAAGAACTTCCGCGGGGAAGTGCTGGAGATGGGGCCGCAGCACTACCTGATGAACGGCGAGATCTCCGTGCTGTCGCCCACCCAGGTGGAGATCACCGAGCTGCCCGTCAAGACCTGGACGCAGCCGTACAAGGAGTTCCTCAGCGGGCTGCTCAACCCAGAGAAGGGCAACCCCATTATCTCGTGAGTACCACGCCACAGGGTCCCCGCTGCTCGTGACCTGCAGAAAGCCGGGGGGACGGAGAACGGGCAACCCCATTATCTAGTGAGGTCCACGCCATAGTGTCCCCGCTGCTCGTGACCTGCAGAAAGCCGGGGGGGGGGGGGGGGGGGGACAGAGAACGGGCACGTGATCTGCCTTATTGCCATTGAATGCATAGCGGGGCTTCTTGTACAACACAGGCGGCTGCTACCGGTTCTGCAGACCGCAGACTGCGGGGTGCTGCTACAGGCAGGGAACATCTCGCCATTTTGTGTCCGTTCCGACGATAAACGAAGACGAAACGGTGCCATTAAAGGGCTCCATTTGCATGACATAACGGAGGACCAGTCAAGACACGTGCTGGGCGTGAAGCGAGGCGCCGAGTACAGAACAGGCGCGGACCGTAATTTAAACTTCTGCCGGGCCGTCGGCTGACAGATGCGACGGATGTTTCAGGTAGTGACGATGGACAGAAAAAAAGCTGAGGGGGCGGGGAGGGGCACCCACGATACATGGAACACGGTGTGTCCGAGCTGCAGGGGGCGTTTGTCGGGACCGAGCGAGACGCGGCGCATCCTGTCTCGGCTGCCGGCTCGTCATGAGCTCTGTTAGCTCTGTTAGCTCTGTTAGCTTCGCCAACGCTGGAGTGGGCATCAAATGGCGAAGGTAGCCCCCGTGCTCACATGAACAAATACGTCTCGTGAGCCTGTGAGTCCATGCTGTGCATAGATGGTGAGACCATTGGTGGGCTGACATATTGCGGGGCTCACTTGACTTATTGCTGTTATTGACAGAGTCAGGGCAATGCCCATTGTTTTTTATGGTGTTGCTAGGTTCACAGCAACAGCCAGTCGCGCGTACGTTTTCAACGGACATTTGTGCCACTGTCCTTTTTATCGCCATCGGTTGACAATCTATACCTGCCTCGCTTGGCCCGCAACTGTCTGGGTCGCGCAGGGCCGCAAATGCCAGTCATCCAAGCACAGCTCCGCCGGCTAATGCTCCAGCCGTCTGGCGTATTATCTGACACCTGCCGCGCCAGCCCCGGGCCCATAACACTGAGTGGTTTCTGATGGACATCACCATGTGTTTTGCGTATCAAACGAAACGAGCGCCGCCATTACGCGTGCTAAAGCGGCAACACGAATGCTACGCGCTGCGTAATCATCCAGTGAGCGGCGCCTGTGCCACGCCGCGTCCGGCTGGCCGCGCCTGTCGGCGGGCAAACAGGCCTGTTTTGTGCATTTCCGTACGACCGGCCTCCCATCGAATATCGAGTGTCTCCGTCCTAATGTCATTGCGTCAAGTGGCGTGGACGAATGGTCGTATTACGCGGGGAGTGTAGCGCCGCCGCCTCTGATGGCACGCGCGCGCGCGCGTTCATGTTAACGCTTGGTCGTTTGGGGGGGGGGGGGAGGAGCCATTTGCCTCTTGGAAGTGGGGGGGGGGGGGGGGGGGGGGGGGGGGGCTGGTCTTATGGATTAGCAGGCCCGTCCGTAGTCTCCTTGTGACACATCCGTCGGCCTTGTGACGGCGACAGTCCGTCGCTGGTGACCGCGGCCTGTCAGCGGACGCCGCCCGTCCAGCGGCGTCCGCTCGGTATGATGGCGATGCCGGTGAACCTCGAGCGGCGTCCATTACAACACGTGTCCGCTGGTGACCGCGGCCTGTCGTCGGCGGACGCCGCCCGTCCAGCGTCGGGTCGGGTCGGGTCGGGTCGGGTCGGGTCGGGTCGGGGTCGGGTCGGGTCGGGTCGTGTCGAGGGCGTCGGGTCGAGTCGAGTCGAGTCGTGCATTCCTACTGAAGCCGGGCAACTGCTGAAATAGTTGAAATATGCAACTATGCTAGACACTTGTTAGTTTTACCTTGCCACCAATCTCGAATGCACTAGTGCCGAAATTGAATGGCGCCATGCGGGATATAATTGCTGTTTTGCTGCATTCAGTTGACCTAGTTTCAAAACGAATCGGTTGCATCTGAATTGTATGCGACCGCACCGAATAAGGGGACTGGAGAAGGTGCCGACCAGCAGAGGTGGAATCGGACGCGCCGAGCGGCGGTGGTATGAGTCGAGGCGGGTGAGCAGACCGGCCCGGCTGGCGCCCGAGAGCTGTTGCCGGTGGCGGGTGAGCAGACCGCCCCGGCCAGTGAACAGACCGGCCCGGCCGGTGAGCAGACCGGCTCGGCTGGCGCCCGAGAGCTGCTGCCGGTGGCCGGTGAGCAGGTCGAGGCCCACCCGACGCTCACAGTGGCGTTTGTTGAGCGTATGTTCAGTGGATCTGGTTAGACGTCACCGCCCGTGCTGCCACAGAGGAGGTTCGGGTAGAAGCTCCGCCAGGGCGCTTCGGGTAGAGTCGTGTGGCTTTCTGGCTCCGGCGGGAGAGACCGTGCCGCAGTTAAGGACTTCGAGGCGAAGTAGTTTCGCGCTGGGTGTGGTCAGTCACGCCCTGACAAATCACCCTGGTAAATTCAAAATTGATGCAATTTTGAATTGAATTCTGACATTCCTTTCGATAAGGACATGTAGCCAAATATCGATGCATCCATCATTCCATTCCCTTGGTTATTATGCGAAGAATAAGGCTATTAGTACCGACTTACTTTATGCATACTTTTTCTCGCAAATGCACTCAACATCTTCCGTAATCCGGCCAGACAGTTGGAGTTCGGGGCGTGAAGGGGTTTGCGACATGGTAGGAAATGCTGGTTTCTGATACAGTTTTACCAGCCGCGAATAGCTTTGAGCAAGATCAGAGCTACGCCATGGATTTGATCACATTAACAAACATTGCCTGATCCCCGTCATACCAGGCCGGTACCCGTCCCACGCGCCGCTCAGCTGATGGTCTGGCGGAGCAGTGACGTGCCGACCTCTGCCACGCAGGGACTTCAAGGAGTACACCACCGACACAACCGTCAAGTTCATCGTCTCGATGCCCGAGGAGAAGCTGATCGAGGCCGAGGAGAAGGGCCTGCACAGCGTGTTCAAGCTGCAGACGTCCGTCGTCACCACGTCCATGGTGCTGTTCGACCACATGGGCGTGCTCAGAAAGTGAGTCGGCCGCCGGGCGGGGCGCGGCCCGGTCGTCCCGCGGTTGTCCGGCCGCGATGATCTTTGTCGGCCGCGGGGGTTCCTGTGGCCGTCCCAGGGACGGGGTCGGCAGCTAGGCTCGCGGGGCGGACCTTGCACTGTAGACTCCCGTCCGCGGTTGGGATGAGCGTCCCGTGCAAGGGCGAGGTGCCGTCAGATGGCACGCAGATCCAGACAGGATTGGCCTGCTCGTCGCCTTCCGACTGCTTGGGATTGCACTGGTCCGCACTGTCACCCCAGTCCCGTTGCAGCCGATTCTCAGTTCACGGACGCCCGGCCGTGCCGCCCTGTGCCCGGCCCCGGCCCCGGCCCCGGCCTGCGTCCCGCCCACCCGAGTCGGCCCGCTCCGAGCCGGGCGGCCATCGCTGACCGCCGCCACCGCCGCCAGGTACGAGTCGGTGGACCAGATCCTGCGCGAGTTCTACACGCTGCGGCTGGAGTACTACGGCAAACGGAAGGCGCACCTGGAGGGCCTGCTGGGCGCCGAGTCGTCCCGGCTGTCTAACCAAGCGAGGTGAGCATGCGCCGGCCATCGGCGGCGGCGGCGGCGGCGACCCCGTCACCGCCGTTTGTCGGCCGTGTGCATCTAAACCTGTGCAGGGCTGTGCCTTGTCTCTTTTGGTGTGGACACAGACGAGGCTGTGGAATGCCACATCTCGCTGTTCTCTTCGAGACAACTTGCAGGGATCATTTGTAAATCGGCCGTTTTTTATTCAAATTTCTGAAAAATTACGATTTTTTATCCGGATCGTTTTGCTTTGGAAGAAGCGCACTCCCCGTCGTCTGAAGGTCGCCGGCTGACACGGCCGGCGCCGGGCGGGCGCTGGGGCCGCCACGCCGAGCGGCGTCGCCGGCGCGCGCGCTCGTCTCTGCCACGCGCCCGCCGCCGGTCGTTTCGGGCCGTGCGGGAGCCGGCTGCGGCCGCGCCAGCTTCAGCGCCCGCCAGCCGGAGCACAGCCGCAGTCACGGCCGCGGCCTAGTGCCGCGAGGCGCCGCCAGGGCCGGCCGGCTGGCGCGCGTCGTCTGCACTAGGCCGGCTTAGGCCGCGGCGCCGGGCTAATAGCTTGACGAGCGACACGTGACGGGTCGCGGCGCCGTCGGATCCGCGGCAGGTGCGTCGTTAAGGATGCGGCGGAGCCGCGCCAGGTGCCGGCGTCCATGCCGCCCGTGCTGTCGTCCGCCTGTGCGTCGGGCGTTGTTTGTTCGAGTTTTCGGCCAGCTTAGATTGGGTGGTGTAGTAAACGAAATCAGTGGCGAAGTGGGAGCGAGGGGTCTGCCGCCTGCCCGGAGTGTGCGAAGGTGGGATAGACGGGAGATGGAGGGGAGGCGAGGGGGGGGGGGGGGGTTCTTGGGGGTGGATGTCTAGTTAAGTTGGAGAGATTGGGCTGCATGGTGGGGGCTCGGGTCCCTCCAGCTGTCATTTGTGATTCGCTAGATAAAAGTTTGTGAGCACTCCAGTGTCTGAAATTTGCTTTTGGGTCTCGGGGAGAGGAAATATAAATTTTAAAAGGACGACTTCTGAAAACAAAATAGCCCATATGAATTTGCGCTTTGAATACAACTGGTAGTAAAAGACATTGTTAAGCAGTAGTTGACAGTAAACGCCATACACCAGATGGTCTCAGTGATTACCAAAGGCCATTACAGATTTGCTACTTGTAATTATGAAATTTTCTGGTTTCTTAAAAAGTATTTTCTTGTGAAGCGTATGCTCCCACCTACTGTACTTTCTGAAACAATGGTGCGTATAGAAAGTTGTTCATATTGACAGTTATATTTCTAAAGGCGTAAGTCTCAATTAAGGTTGAAAGAAACCAATACTTAAAATGTGGTGCACCTGTTGCATAATTTCTCAGAGCACATTACGACAATCTTATGATAGAAATGCGATGCAAGCCTCTATGATATAGAAAGGAACATCTGGCATATAGTATTTAGTGTGGCTAAGTACCAGCCAAAGTACCATCTTTCTTGCCTGAGGGGCACGTGCTGGAGCGATGTGATAACCACTAAGGTTTCTGACATGCACACATATGCTATATCCATGATATCTTATAAAAATAGATTATATGAGTATATATTGTATTACATGTAAATACATTATATTATATAAATATATACGTACATATGATATGGGAACAGGGATGTTTCCTATTCAGTTGGGTGAGATTCTAGCCCCTAGACGAAAGTTGAGCAGAAATTTTGTCAAAGTCGGGAAGAAAGCATGGTTGCACCATTTATTTGGGCTTGAAAGTTTTCTCTACTCACCCCTTCCCCAGTCTCATGTGCAAAACTACACCATCTGGGACGTCAGACTGATGCGTGGTCGGGGCTCGGAGGTCAATGCAGCAGAGGCGTAGGGATTATTTCCTTCTCATAAAGCAAGCCAACCCTACATAGCGAGCATCCGCTATATCTACTCGCCGACGTTGAGTCTGATACATTACTTACCTCACTGTATGACGCTGAGCTGAATTTATGTATTGTCTTTTTGTTCTCAATCAGTTCCACTGTCACTGCCCGACGCGGCTCCCGCGCGGCTCTTCTAGAAAACGTCGGGCACTCAGAATGCTACAGAAAAGGCGCCACAAAGTAGCATTCTTCTCAACGACAGAGCTGCTGTGTGTTGTTGATCGGTTTTGCCGTTGTCTTTCTAAGACCTTAATAATTTTACAGAAATTGTTCATTAGGAAAACCCAGATGAAAAGAAAGGTGAATTTATAAAACGCGAATAATTATTTCAGTGCCAAACCAAAAGCCCAACGGAGAACGACAAACCCTGTCTTAGCTTTACACTCATACCATAAGTTGGTGGCGAGGCTCGTAGATGGAAAGGAAAACGGCTGTTGTCTAATGCCCCTTTTTTGCGTCTTCATCCTGCATTCAGCTCTGATTTTTGATGGAGAGCATACCTTCTCTCCAATGCTAACTAAATCCTCCCCAAGAGTCAGAGGCTTTGGAGCCCTAGATTCCGCGTGCCTAAGTCAGTGTTTAGGACGGTGTTTGACGTCACCGTTATGCCTTATACGCAATCTGCATTTTTATTGCTTTGAGTGGAAATTCAATGAAAGTAACGTAACAAAGCACGAACACTTATTCTGTACCTAATGTATTTTTAGTTAATGCTATATATATATATATATATATATATATATATATATATATAGTGCATGTATAAACTCATATATGTATATATACATATATAATGTGTGTTTCTATTGTCAGCATGCGTTCTAGAAGCATTGAATCACCACGTTCACGACATATTCTCTGTGCTCTCCGTTCTCCTTGGCTATCCGCCCAACCACGAGAGGCGGTTGTTTTGAGTGCGCCACTGGGAATCGGGCGTCTGAGCGCGTTGGTGTCGTTGGTGGACGATATGTGGGTAGGTTAAACGTGTGCTGGTGAGGAGGGTCGGACCTGGGCAGTGAGGGCGGGAAGGGAAAGGCTGTGCGACATGATAAAAAGATTCGGCCGTGACCAGCGAGTAGCGTGCCTCGTTAAGTCGTGGTGGGTATGACACGCGACGCTGTCGAAGTTGCGGGATGGCTTATTTCCATCTCACGTTCTACACAGAGGACAATTTTTTATATTGTTGCAAGTGTATCTTTGTGGAGAATGAAATGTCTTGGCACCAAAACACCAAGGAACACCCAAATTTCAGGCACTGGGTCACTCGCTGCAGTCTGTACGCTAGGATGTGGTGACTCGAGACCGATTACCGCTCGCTGGATGGCGACATTTTACTGTTACCCGAGGTGGAGTTTGATCCGGAGGAGACCTGTGACTTGCTGGTGTGGTGTCTGACCTGAGATAGCGGAGCCTCGAGGTTAACAGGATGGCAGCTCCGCAATTGTACGACACCCAACTTCATGATCCGCTTCATGGTCTAAGTCTGCCACGCCTGTCGCGTTCATTCAAGTTTGCTAATAACAGTTGTCGGGGTTACACTTCTGGTTAGGTGGGGGGGGGGGGGGAAGGGGGACCATCGAAGACTTCACACTTTCACAGGGCCCCTCGAACACACCCGAAAAACGTTGTCGTGCAACGCAGTGGGCAGTGCCGGGCCAGAGCTGAGAAACTACCTCTATGCATTCTCATTTAAGGCAGACTTTGAACAGCACGTATTCTGAACGGCGTTTGGAATCGCATTTTGTTCAAACAGGCCTCAACCAGACTCAAGGAGCATGAACAATCACAGCCAGGCACGAACATGGGCGATAGGTCCAAGGTTTCCCCGACCAGTAGGTTGTGTGGGAAGTTACCCCGCCCTTGCACAAGCCGAAAAGATGGCCACCAGATGGCGAGGTTGTGTCCCCCCCCCCCACCCCCACCGAGGAGCGGTGTCGGAGTGGTTCAATTCCCTCCGGTGCGATGGAATCTGTCGTCTTCGTTGGACCCATTCAAAAGCCTTATTTCCAACAGGCCCTCCGCCGCCATGGCCTTCGGCGTTCTGTTGGGAACCTATGGGCGTTTCTCATCGCTTTGGAATTTCAGCTGGGCATGTTCCCGCGCCCTGCTGTGTACACGCCGCTGACTTCAGAGTGGGGAGTTTACTGAGTGAAACTTCTGAAAAGGGAACGGATGAATTGAACAGCCGCCGGAGGTGACGCAGCCGCAACCAGAGAACCGATCTCCTCTTCCTTCCGGAAATGGAATCCAAGGTTCTGCTGCGCTATACGTTAGGCAGAATTATATGTTTGTTGGAATTTTTCACGGAGACGACTGTGGTATGCCAGGTGATACCTCAGCGGCTAAAATGCTAGGAGGCCACGCTGGCAATGTGAGCTGAGTTAGGACCCCCGGCATTATCGTCAGCTGCTTGACGTCAGATTTTTTTCTCACGGCTCAGGCAAGAGAACTAGGAAATTGTACGTCATGTCTCGCGCGTTTCTAATGCCGTATCTCACGCATTAAGCGCGCAATGGTGGTAGAAGTGGTCCGAAATAAACATTATTTAATCACAAACCAAAGTACATGTAGATGCTTATGTGCTCTATTTTGCCTGCCCGACTTTCCATTTGGGCGGCGAGTTTTATCCCACCGGGGTATGCTTCATTAAAATGTGAAATTTTCAGTACCTGAATTATCGTGTGCAAAGGAACCAACCAAGTCTCGCGTGCTAAGACTAACCATATATTTGAAACAGTGGTGCAACCAATTCTCCACGGCCCCATGTGCAGCCCAGGTTATTTTCACTGATGCCTTGTGCGATGAATTTTAAATTGGTTTGGACTAGATTTAAGAGGCTGTACTTGTCATCTCCTAGCGTTGTTATTTCAACAAGGGCTCGTGTAAAGAACCGGCTCAGCTGCTGCTGCTTATGCGCCGCTTTACTTTTGTTACCGGTTAAGAGGAAAACAGTTGATTCTTTCAGCCCACATCAGCCCCAGACAGCGCGAGACCAGCCAGTTTGTGTGGACGTACTGTAAGCCGCGCAGGTCTGTGGACAGGAAAATCTCTGATCGAAAACAATGAATGATTGTATTGCTTCAAAACGAATAACGGCTTCGAAGTTTGTGCTTTTTTGTCATGTTAGAATTGTGATGTAAGCAGTATGCCATCTAGTAGCGGGTTACACAAGTTCGAACATACCGTGCATGTTGAGGCACAAATGATGAACAGTATATGATTTTGTACGCAATGACACCTCAAAAGAAAAAGTAAACCAGTGTCACGGGATGAGATTGCCCATTCATGTCACGCACACAGACGCATATTGTTTCTTGACCGACCAACTTGACTTGACTAACTTGACTTTACTTTTCATTGATTCTTGCCTGAGATGTGCAAAAATAGCTCGGTGTCCAGCAGCCGGCGCTAATATCAGCAGTTTCCGCAACCATGTCTATGTAGGCCGTGAGTTGAGTACCATTTCCTGCGAGGCCGTTGCGAATGTTGGCTTGTTTAGTAAATCTCCAAGTTGAGCCGTGGCACGGCACGAAAATGGCGTGGCACCTGAATGCTGCTGGAGGCGTCTTGTCATGCTGGCCACACAGCCGGGAGTGGCGACGCGTGCCCCCAATGCGACGGTAAAGGCAGACGCAAACTTTGAAACCATCCAGGAGATAAGTGAATCGGTCTGAGTGGCCATGTCATAGCGGCACGTGCCACGAAAAGCTCCCTTCGGGGCCTTGCCTTTCTAAGACGTCTGTGCAGTTCCTGGGAAGCTGGAGCGTATTTCTTAACTCGCTTGACTTAAGGCGCTGCAGCGTGCTGTTATTTGAATACACGACGAATTGTAAGCGGCCCGGTTCGAACAAAGGCTTCCGAACGCAGCTCTGCAGGGAGATTGGGAGCTGATCCGGTGTTTGGGCCGTCCTGACTTCCTCCTCCTACTCCGCAGGTTCATCCTCGAGAAGTGCGACGGCAAGCTGACGATCGAGAACAAGAAGAAGAAGGACATGATCGCCGAGCTGGCGAAGCGCGGCTATGACTCGGACCCGGTGAAGGCGTGGAAGTTGGCGCAGCAGCAGCAGCTGGACGAGGAGCCCACGGTGGGTACGGCGGCGGCGGCCGCTCGAACGGCACCGCCTCTGGGACACCACTGCCGCGATCTCGCTCACACGCTCAAGGCGCCAAGCGTCGGAGTTGGGTCTGGACTGGCCTGAAGCAGATGTGATGTGGTCTCTGTGTCTCTCAGATAGATCAAGCGCTGGAATTAAAACATTTTTTGCATGGTTTGGACAGGCGTTGGGTGCGGTTTGGCCGTTGGCTGTTGTCTTTTAAATCTTGTGCGCTTTGCTTTACACTCTCCATTTCTGTAATGGGCTGGGTATAACATATCACTTACCGTCCATGTCGTGTGATAACGCTAATGTTCAGTTTAGCTCTCTTAAGCATAGTGAATATCAAAGAGGCGTGGTGCTCTAACCTTAGCCTTAACACTGGCATGGGTTGCAACAATCCCATCTTCACGCTCCACTCATTGTCTTGCTCTTCTCCTCCACTCTCTCACTTACTCTCACCAGTGTGCGCCTGACTTCCTCACTCACAGGCGCCGTCAGCGGCTCAGCTGAGCGTGCTGTGCTCCCTCGGGCGCGGGGCACAGGCTGCGCTCGCGCGCAAACGTACAGCCCGACACGCAACTAAAATCCAGCTACGAGCGCCTTTCCTGAGGCGACGGGAACAGGGCGGGAAAAAGCCCGTCGGCCGCCGGTATTGGGCTCCCGCCAGCCCCGCTGGCGGTGCGCGTGAGAGGTCCCGTGGCGGCTATCCGTCGACTGCCTGTCCCGGGCACGGTCCCTGCCCGTCCACTGGCGGCGGAGCGGCCCGGCCGCTGCGCCGTAGAGGCCCAGGGTAGCGCCGCAGAGGCCTCGGCACTGCGGCGCGAAGGCACGGCGCAGCGCAGCAGAGACCTGGCGTAGAGGTGCAAAGGCCCCGGTAGCATCGCAGAGGACCGGCGCTGCAGCGCGCAAGCCCGGCGCAGCGCCGCAGAGAGCCGGCGCAGCGTCGCGGAGGCCTGGCGCAGCGGTGCGGAAGCCCGGTGCAGCGCCGCAGAGGCCCGGCGCACTGCCGCAAAGGCCCAGCGCTGCAGCGCGCAAGCCGTGTCGCGTGCGCGGGCGCAAGCGCGTGTCCGCCTGCGCGTCACGCTCGTCGCCGCCGCCCGTTGGTGTCGCTGCTCGGACCGGGTGGGCGGGATCCCCCGCCGCGGGATCCCCCGCCGCGGGTTATCGCGTGGTTTCAGGACCCCCGTTTTAGCAACTCATCACGGCGTACAGGACTCGTGCAGAATCAGCTCGGGAACTGATAGCTAAGGCGGACCGGCCTGTCGAACTGTCGCCAAGTTTTACACCACCGCTGATAACGGACAGGTTTCTGAAGTAATTTAAGCGGAGCAGAGCGGTCCCCTTTGAACCCGTCGCTATGAGTGATTCGACACTGGTTTCTGTGGTCGCTCCATTTGATAGACCATTGGGCACCGTCTACACATTTGGTGATGCGAGTACCGTCTCCGCACCGTCCGTCCGGTGTACCTGACCGCGATAGCGTACGGGCGGGCACTGGTCTGTACTGCCGGTGCGGTGCAGCTGACTCAGCGCCGTCTCCGTGTCGGACAGGACTCGCAGGACTCGCAGGACGAGGAAGCGGCTGCGGCCACGGCCGGCGGCCCCGACTACGACTACCTGCTCGGCATGAACATGTGGATGCTGACCAAGGAGAAGAAGGACGAGCTGCTGAAGAAACGCGACGAGAAGCTGCAGGAGCTCAAAACGCTGAAGGCGAAGCAGCCAGCCGACCTGTGGCGCGAGGACCTGGATCACCTGATGGCCGAGGTGGGTGTGACGCCCGCGCACCCAAGCGCGTGCTTCTGCGGGTGCCTGTGGCGCAGGCCGCCGCCTCTCCCTTCAGCTTGTCGGACTGACGCTCACCACTCGTCGTAAGAGGGAGCTGTGTGCCGGCCGGTGCCGTCGCAGGGCCGGCGCTGGTCAGACGTCGCCGCTGCCCCTGCGCGGCGCCCAGCAGCCCTTGGTGCTGCCCCCCCCCCCCCCCCCCCCCCCCTGTAACGCCCGCTGATGCCGGTCGCGTCGCGTGCTGTATGCGTCGGTGCACGTGCCGGCCGGTGCCCCGGTCACTGAGGCTCACACGCAGCATAAGCTGACGCCCACCGACCCAAGTTGAGATGATACCCCATTCTAAGCCGTGGTTGCTTTGCCGTATGGTCGTGCTGTCGCTACATGTCGTGGCTGACCCCTCCCTTGCTTGATGACGCGGCACTAAGGTGTTCTGGCTTGTTTCATCCGATTTGTGGTAGTGGTTTTGCCAACATCGCCAACATATCATGGTTGTCATTGGTAACTTGATGCAAATTTCCACGTTTTCGGTCCCTTTTTCACACCACATTGTCTTCTAGGATCCTATTCCTGGCACGGGATTGGTAATGCGACGCCGGACTCCAGTGACTTTCCAGTGACTGTCGGTTTTCCTGTGGGCCGGCGGTGATCCCGTACTGCATCCTGTGTGAATGCCGCAAAGTCACCGGCAGGCGGGGAGATTTGTCGTCTCGGCCGACCACTCTCCTCACGCGGAATTGGCTGGGACTCCCCGGCGCTCGCGGCGGGCGCCACGCGCCGAGCGAGCGCCGGAAGCCCGCCCGGCCAGCCGACTTCCGAGAGCTGGCCGGGCGGGCTCGGTTGGCCCGGCCGCCGTCTCTGACCCTGTCGGCATCTGGCCGGGCGGGCTCGGTTGGCCCGGCCACCGTCTCTCGACCCGCTCTCAATCCGTCCTTGCCCAGCTGGCCGGGCGGGCTCGGTTGGCTCGGCCGCCGTCTCTGACCCTCTCGCCCCCCGTCCCTCCCCAGCTGGCCGGGCGGGCTCGGCTAGCTCGGCCGCGGTCTCTGACCCCCCTCGCCCTCTGCCCCTCCCCAGCTGGACGCCCAGGAGCAGCGCGAGCGAGATGACGAGGACGCCGGCTCCAAGAAGGCCAAGGCCAAGGGCAAGGTGACGGGCGGCTCCCGCAAGGTCAGTTGTGTCCCGGTGGGGGGGGGGGGGAGGGGGCGCGTGACCGGCGTGATGCTGGTCGCCCCGGCGCTCTGTGGGCCCAATCAGTTAGTTATTGAGTTAAAGAGCGTGTCAGGTGCATTGGCTGTTTACGCCGCTCTGTGGGTCCGGCCGAAACTGACGCACCGAAGCCAGGCACCGAAGCCGAGCAGCCGCCCGCTTTCGCCAGGCGCTGCTCACCGGAAATATTGTGAGACATCTTATAGTGTCTCAGAAAGTCGTGCTTTCGGCTGTTCATACGTCGGTGTGTCACCAACAGCATAGTGGGAATAAGATACATCCATCAAGAAGGGACTGACGTTTCTTTGGTTCGGCACGTGCTTGAACCCGCCCAGATCTTATAGACTGATGCGCGAATCCGGATCACTTCTTGAAGGTATCAACATATTCATGCATGAATCCTTCGTGAAGACGGCTGAAGGCGGTGGTCAGTGCGACGTGCCGACTTCCCAGATCTGAACTCGACAAAGTTGCCTCACTTCATCGAACTCCAGTGGGATGCAACCTGTAATTGCTTACTAAATTGCCCAGAGAATGATCGCGTCCGCGCTCGTGTTGCTCTGGGACGTCAGGTGTGACATGTGATACTACGTCATGGACACACACACACACACACACACACACACACCACACACACACACACACACACACACACACACACACACACACACGCACGCACGCACGCACGCACGCACGCACGCACGCACGCACGCACGCACGCACGCACGCACGCACGCACGCACGCACGCACGCACGCACGCACGCACGCACGCACGCACGCACGCACGCACGCACGCACGCACGCACGCACGCACGCACGCACGCAACACACACACACACACACACACACACACACACACACACACACACACACGCACATATATATATATATATATATATATATATATATATATATATATATATATATATATATGTGCGTGTGGAGGGTGTATTGAGAGGACAGATGTTAATATGCCAGGATGGGACGTGGGTAGTAATAACGGCAACCAAAATGCCTCGTGCTAGGATTGCGCGCTCACCGTGGCTTTGATCGAGCTAAACAATTCGCAGCTAGATTCGAGGTATAAACCAACGGTGGGAGCGAATTGTCATTCAAGTGGTCGATGTTGTGCGCCGACCAATCAGCGGCGGCAAAGCCTCAGCTGCGAGCGCGACTGGCGGGCAGCCGGTAGCTAATTGGCGGTCGTGAAGCCGGGCAGCTACTCGGGGTGCCCCGCATACGGCCGCAAGAGTGGGTCTGTCGGGCGCGCGAGACATCGCAGGTGGAGGGGAAGAGCTCGGCGCGGCGCGGGGCGTACTGCTGCCGCACTGTCCGGCGCGAGTCAGCGGCGTCGCCCTGACCGGAAGGAGGGCGTGGTCCCGCTGGGGGAGCCGGAGGCGCTCCGGATCCGGCGACAGGCCACGTTCCGCCCGACAACCCGGCCGGCTCCGGCGCCTTGTGTTGTCACGCTTTGAAGTTGTCGCCGTTTTCAGTCGGGGCTGATTTGCTTCGGCATTTAGTTACGGGTAATAATGCCGCTGCAGGCTCTTGATATTTCTATTAGCATTGTCGAGTTCCTGCGATGTTTCACATTCGCCGGCGGATTCGCGAAGGGCTTCGCGGCGGCCCTTCGATGCCTCGGCGCCGTTTGTAGTTTGAGCTGGTAACCCGGTCGCCCACTAGTGGTCGATGGCAAGGGCGAGTGCGGCAGCAATCCGCGGCGGCAAACGTCGACTCGCACCGGCGTGACGGCGTTTTGGTGCTGACATCCGCTGGGTTATCCGCTGACATCCGCTGACATCCGATGACATCCGATGGCCTACATCCGATCTGGTGCTGACATCCGCTGGGTTGTATGTACACCGGCAGTGACCTGATATCCTTCCGCGTCA